CTACTCTTGATATTTTATTTATTTATTTTTGTTTGTTTCTTTGTTTTTGGAGAGGTTTTCACTATAGGGTGTGTGCGCTCGCCAGAAAGACAGAGAGAGACAGAGAGAGAGAAAGCGAGAAATCACCCCCCCAGGGGGGATGGCCATGCCGCAATCCCTACTCTTGATATTTTAAAGGAGAAGAGACCCCAGGGGCTGTGGTGGTGGTGGTGCAGGTGCACTACTGGAATGGAAGCCATGTGGCTGACCACGGGTTAGGACCCTGGGTCTGCTGGAGCAGGTGCAGGCCCTGCGGGGATTGGAGGGCTGGGGAAGGACGGGCTGTAAGCACACCCCCACGCACATACGCCCTTTTATTATGAAGAGAGAGAGCAGGAAAGTGGACCTTTCTGTTAATAAATGGCTGGTATTGTCAACATAGTTTAACTAGGTTTGGGAAAAAAAACACTGACCCCACTTGCCAGGCAAATTGGAAGCTTAGGTTGTAACCTGAGCTTTTTCTTACCCTGTAGAATCTGGGAAGTTTGTTAACTTGAGTACTAAAGTTAATTTTCTGGACTCTAACTTGGTGAGTTACATCTGTGGTTTCATCACTGACTTTGAATGAATACATTTCTGTGCATTTTTGTGAGCTAAAACCTCCTGAAACGGTGTTAATCTTTAAGTGTATTGTTTCTATTTAACTTGAATCCATGTCACTAGTGTACAGATGTTTTGTTGTTCTTTTTAGTAGCTCAGAATAGTTAGTGGTTACTATTTGCTGACAGGGCCTCTCATTTTCTAGTTTAGTTCTCACAAGGAATTTGTGAGATAGGAACTTGATCATGTTCATAGACGATGCTAGCCAGGCTGAGCAGCTCCCCAAGTTCAAGCACCTATTCAGTTGTCAGACTAGAACATGAACCCGGTTAGCTTTTTTTCCTGAGGAGTCCCCTGCTCCTAAGCCCTCAAAGTCCCCTGGGATTGGCATGGCCTCTCACAGTCCATGTGTCCCCGCCCACCCTGCCTGCTTGATTCGCACTCGTGCATTGTCTGCTCTGATGCTCGTCACTATCTTAGGAGGGCTGGGGCCTGGGAATGTCCTAGGACCTATCTAATTTTCAGAGGTTTTTAGTATAGCAGCTTCTCACTAGAGTGGATTATAATGTTGCTGTATTTTATTGACTCCAAGGTTCAGGGTTTTGTTTTTGTTTGTTTTCCTTTCTTTTTCTCTCCACATCTGAATATTGCTAAAATCAGAATGCATCTTCCAGTGGACTTCTTGATAACTCTAAATTTACCAGCTAACGATGTTTGACCTGCTACTAAATCTTGCCTGCTATCTGATGTAGATAAATGTTCTTACGTGCTCCCTTCATTTCCATCTAGAACCATCTAGAGCCCCACATTTCCTGTCCTGGCTAAACCCGGTGGGGTGCGTTTAGTACCAGTACCTTGGACAAGAAAGACAAGGGTAGGAATGAAGGTTTTGGTGTGATATCCTCGCTTCTTCTCATACCGTTTCAGAACATTTCACATAGCGTATTAAAACAGTCTTGTTCTTTTCTCACCAAAATCAATACAAGGGAAATGGGATTTCTAATAGACTATTTATTATAAGCAACTATGTGACAGCACAGAACTTTGGCAGTCCTTGGCCTTTTTTGTTATATAATCCAGAAGCCATTATGTTTAACAGTCTTGAAAGGATATCCCAGTTATAAAATCTCGTGTGCATGTGTGCGTACATAGTTAAACCTCGCTAAAATGGACCTCTTACTCTAATACACGTTATCTATTGGGTCAGGGTTATTTAATTACCGAATCACATTCCCCACTACGTGTAATAACATTGGGAGGGCTGTGAAAATACACAGTTTGGGGGGTTTGTATGTATTATTACCTGGGGGTTTTCACATAACCTCAGAACTCGCAGGGAAAAGTGAGTTGGGTAAGTGTATTCGGAGCCCATAAGGCCCTTGGTGAGGATTTCTGGTACAATTGCACACCCAGTAGGAAACCGGAGTAAGGGCATCTAGTCACCTTGTCCCAATGACTCAAGTTCCCGGTAATCCTTTTCTTCATTCGTCATCCTTCTTCCTATTTGTACTTAGACTTTGGTGATGAGAAAAGTACATACACATATAAACAGGCACGAGCATTTTCGTTGTTGGCACGGTACCCAAGTCAGTAATAGGAGATTTTCAGAAGCCGAAGATCTCGCCGTCAGTATGTTGTCCTTCAGGACAGCTGTTCCTCCGAGATACCCAGCCAGAGGAGGTGGCGCTTTCGCGGTCAGGCTGCACAGCGGACAGGAACTTGAAAACACAGAATTTTGCTTACCAGAATTAGTCTCGTCTCCTGGTGTTGGACTGCTCTGCTCGGAACGTGGCGGCTTTCCAGCCTTCCCATTTGCCTTTCTGCATCATTTGATGTCCCTGACCATCTCTTCTCTCCGGCTCCCGGGACAGCCCTTTCCCTTTTCCTCGCCCATGTCCTTACTCCACTCTTCCAGCTCCATTCTCAACCATGTAGATGCTAGTTTCCCCCCAAGATTTGATCCTTGGGATTTTCTGTTCTTTACTTGGAATTTTACATTTTGTGACCATCATAGGTTAACGACTCATATCTACAGCTCTAGCCCTAGACATTTCTTCAGTTCTATTTCCAGTTGTCTGAGTCTACCTTTATCTTAATATTCAACAAATGTAGAGATTTTACAAAACTGTGGGGTTATGTCGGTAATTGTCTTTTTTTAAACTTAATTTTATTTATTATTATTTTTATTTTAAATTTGCTATAGGACACATGTGTTTATCAGAGAGAGGCAGAGAGGGAAAGTGAGAAAGCAAGCTACCAGGTCCGGGACTCGAATTGTGTTTGACCATGTAGGAGTCCAGCACTTTAACCACCATGCCACCTGCCAGCCCTAGTAATTTTTTTAACTGAAAGGAGAGGGAACAAATTGAATAGCTAGGTAGGCTCTAGACTTGTTATTTATGTACTTACATATTTGTTTTAGCAGAGACTTTAAAGTACGATTTAGTAATTAGGGAAAAAGAAACATTGCGATGTAAGGTTTTTTATTTGAGAAGTTCTCTATCTGTACTTCATGACTGTAATAAATAGAGTTCGATAAACAAGTTTTACTGTGGGGTGGTCCTTGTTCTTCTCATTCCATTTTTGTCCTCCTCTTTCCCCTCCTTTTCCATTCCCTTGGAAGAGAAAATAGCTCAGGAAACTGGCTTGCAGTCAGTGGTCTGGGAACTTCCGGGATTCATTACCAGATCCCCTGGACGTTGCAGTCTGACGCAAGTGGCATTGTTTGGGGATAGGAGTTGTTGTCATGGCTCTGAGACAGGGTGGCCAGGGTTGACAACTGCAGGTGTTACCTTTTGCAGAAATTCAGTCGGGAATGTTTTTCTGCCAACTTTCTTAATTCATCTGTTAAATGAGAAGACGTACTCCCCTTCTTTCCTTTTCCCACCTCACCAAGAACGGGCAGACCGGCTAGGGACTCCTGTTTCTGAAGATGTGGCAGTCTTTCGGAGTCTGTGTGTCCTCTGGAGCCGTCTTCTTGTCTCAGAACTCCCTTTTCTTGTCACCACAGACTTTGTTGTGAGTTACCCTGTCATCACCTATTAGGGACGTTTTCCGACTCTTTGTCCTTTCCATGGATCAGTTTCTGTGGATCAATTTTGATATAAATAGGACTTCAAAGGATTGTAGTTAGACTTGTATTTTAGAAGTTTTTGAGCTGAACTCTCTCTGTGCCAGATAAAATAGTCATGCGAGTATCAATGTTTTATGTTTACTTTTAACTGTCTTTACTGATAATGTTTTTAAATCCTCAGTTTTATTGGTGTTCTTAATAGAAACACTGTTCCTGATTGCTTAGACTAAATAATCTTTATATAAAATGCCACAGGTTGAAATGATCTAATAAAAACAGATGTCATAAGAATGGAGGCACTTTGAGACTACGCTCTTAGACTTTCATTAGCATTTATGGATTTCATGAAACTCCCACAAGACGTCTCCAGTAATAGAACCTTTTTTTTTTTTTCTTTTTAAATGTTTGTTTATTTCTTTCTTGGGAGGAAGAGTCACAAACAGGTACCCACAATAGATCTTGCCATGCCACAATTTTTCCCTCAGCCTCTCAGCCAGCCAGGATCACAGAGGCAGGCCCCTGTTCAGTTCAACCTGGGATCTAAACCCTGGCCTCCCACGTGGCTCCAATATGTGCCTATGTCCCGACTGCCGGGCCAGTAATATTTCCTTAAAAAGAAAGATAGCCAGGAGGAAAGGCTGTAGTTCTTTTGGCTCACAAGGCCCCGAGGGGGGAAAAAAAAATGGAAAAAGATACCCTTGGTTTTCTCCTTTTGGAATACATTTTTAGTAAGTGATAATTAATACTCCAAGGGTATTTTTTTCTTGATTTCTGTGATCAACACTAAACATAAATAATTGATGATCATGACACAGGTCAGTAGGGCAGTAATCGGCACCTAGTTATTTTGGGAAGTGGGGAGAGGTGACAGGAAGGAACTTTCCTTTCTTGGGAAACTGTGAGTACGGTATTTTAATGATAAAATATGTCCTTTTTTGGTCCCAGTTTTTAACAAATCCATACAATGAAAATGGCAATGCCTCTTCAGAGTTAATTTTTGAGAATTAAATGTGATAATGCATGTTAAGAGTTTAGAATACTACTCAGCATTTAGTAAGCCCTCAGTAAACTTTGAGAGTTGCTATTATTTTTTGTACTTTTGAAAAGGAAAGCCATATACAGAGACAGCTAATGGGGAATGCACCTGCAATTTAAGATCTAACAAAGTATTTAAGACATTTTTTTTAAGCGGTGTCCAATTTCTTATTCCACCTGTTTGTTGAATTTTGCTTGGAGAAAGTTAGCGTAAGATTTCAAATATCTTATTTTAGTTTATATGATAAATAAATTTAATAACAGAATCTTAAAAGTGAAATAACTACATCTATCCTTTTTTTCTTTGTTTCAGGTTTCCCCTCAAAAAACCTATAAGGTAAGTTAATTTGCACTTCTGACTAACATTTATGTTTAGTCTTAATTAGAGACATCCCTTGGAAATTATGGTAGATTTTTGTGATTTAGAGAATGCAAATTTAAGTAGTTTATAATTTCCAAATGTCTTACAAATTTAGAATATACCAGGAGTTTTATATTTTTTTCTAGACAATGTTGTTTTGATAATTTTTTTTTCTTTAGCTTTTGTCATCGAGCATGTGTGCTCACTGGAGAGAGAAAAATGGAAAGAGGGAAGTCACCCCCCGCCCCAAGGGGAATGGCCACACCATAGTCCCTTCTGCTCTATTATCCTCTTGGGATTTGGGGCATGCATGCACACACTCCCAGTGTTATTTTCAAGCTGACGGGTCCAGGACTTGAACAGCAATCTGCTATGTGGGAATCTAGCAACTTAACCACCACACAACCTACTAGCCCTTAATACTCTTTTTTTTTTTTTTTTTTGAGAGAGATTTTCGCTATAGGGCGCATGCACTCGCCAGACAGACAGAGAGAGATATTAGAGACAGAAAGCGAGAAATCCCCCCCCCAGGGGGGATGGTCACGCCACAATCCCTTCTCCTCCATCCTCCTTTCAGGATCTGGGGCACACACGCACATACGCCCGGCGTGAGTTTTAAGCCACCGGGTCTGGGACGCGAACCGCGGTCGACTACGTAGGAGTCCAGCGACATAGCCATTACGCAAACTGCTGGTTCCTTTTTTTTTTTTTTTGAGAGAGATTTTCGCTATAGGGCGCATGCACTCGCCAGACAGACAGAGAGAGATATTAGAGACAGAAAGCGAGAAATCCCCCCCCCAGGGGGGATGGTCACGCCACAATCCCTTCTCCTCCATCCTCCTTTCAGGATCTGGGGCACACACGCACATACGCCCGGCGTGAGTTTTAAGCCACCGGGTCTGGGACGCGAACCGCGGTCGACTACGTAGGAGTCCAGCGACATAGCCATTACGCTAACTGCTGGTTCCCAGCCCTTAATACTTTTAATATGAGAATTTTAAGATTTGTTCAAAGCAATACTTATAATTACTTCTTTTGAAGTGTAATAATTTTAAGATCTATGAATGTTTTAAATTCTGTGAAGCTTAGGAGGTGAAAATGATTACTAATTTTTTGTTTGTTTTAGACAGTCATTGATTTAATGTTTATCTTTTTATTTGTTGTGATTTTTAAATATTTTATTTTTTTAAAAAAATTATTTTATTTAACTTTATTTATTTATTTTCATTTGACTAGAGAGGGACAGAGAGAGAGAGGAGAGAGAGGGAGAGAGAGAAGAAAGTGAGAAAGTAAGCCGCCAGGTCCAGGACTCCAACTGCGGTTGGCGATGAGGGAGTCCAGCACCCTTAACCTCCACGCCACCTGCCGACCCTTATTCAGTGTGATTTTTTTAGGCCACCCAGTCCAGGACTCAAACTGCAGTCAGTCTTGTGGGAATCTAGTGCTTGCACCACCATGCCACCTGCTGGCCCCCAGGGACTGCTAGTTTTTTTTATGTGTTTTATCACTTTTGTGACTGTAACTCTAGTTAATAAACTTTGCCACTGGCTTTGTCTAGAATACTTTAAGACAATAAAGAAAAAACCCAAAACGTTCAATATCTGTGCCATATCCATAATATATTTATTTATCTCTAGGGATTAAGTGCCTCTTCCTCAGCACTTATGCTTCAACATCCGCTCTCTCCCTTTCTCATCTTAATTATCATAAACACTATTTAAAATACAGATAGTCCATCGTTTCTACTTATTATAGTACTCTTATCACTTTCAGAGACAGCGTAGTCCAGCATACAGTGCTTGCCTTGGCGTTTCAGTTCATCAGTAGTGTACGTATTACACTTTTGGTCTTATTTGTCACCCAGCCACTATCCAATCAGTGTAATTGCCTAGACCATAGAAAATGTAATAATTGGGACCAGCAGATGGCTTAGTGGTTATGTTGCTGAACTCCTACATAGTCAACCGCAGTAAAAGTCCCAGACCCAGTGGCTTAAACTCATGCTGTGTGCATATGTGTGCAAGCCCAAGATCCCGAGAGGAAAGGAGAATGGAGGAGAAGGGATTGTGGCATGGCCATCCCCCCTAGGGGGTGATTTCTTGCTTTCTGTCTGCTAACAAAAACCTCCCCAAAAAAAAAAAAAAAAAAAGAAAAGAAAAGGAAAAGAAGACATAATAATTGTAGTGACATCTGTGGCTAGGACTCTATAGGCAGGTTTAAAATGAGTTTTGCCTAAGGTTGATTGGTTTGTTTTCTTAAAAACTGTTCTCATGCATTCTGTATTCATATAATGATTTTGAACTTGACGTTAATGTATATAAGGTTGGGTAATGTATTTATAATTCATTCAATGGACTGTTTTCTTGTTAATTAAGTGGAAATGATAGTGATTGACATGTGAAAGCCACTAAAAAATGTAAGCAGTTATTTCTAAAAATAAAATAGATTTTAATACTTAAAGTTACTTTGTATTATTTTAAGCCTTTAAAAAAAAACAAAAACAAAAACAAGAGACAGCTTATAACTTGTAGCAAAGGCTGAATTTTAAAATTTCCTGAAAAAAAATACAGAGAGGCTTATGATACTGTGTAAGCTAAACCAATTTCCTAGTTTCTCTTTGTAAGACACTTTTAGGATTTTTAAATTAAGTTTTGATGGTAATGATTTTCTTGTAGTAATATTTGATCGCTTTGATTTAATTTAGGCATGGAAGTATTTTGAACCGAGAGTCACCAACAGATAAGAAGCAGAAAGTTGAGCGCAGTGCATCACATGATTTTGACCCCACAGGTAACAGACAGACAACGCTGTTTTTTCTTCCGGAGACCGTTGAGAGTTAGTGAATCTGGAAAGGACACTCATGCTGCTTGAAACTCTCAGGAGTAGTTGTTTCAACTGTTTTAACACTCTCCCTTCCCTTCCAATGCCATAAAGCTTTTGTATCCAGTAGGAGTGTAGCCATTTTTAACGTCCAGCCCAATATTCCACTGCAGGAGCCTCATCATAGAGTATTAAATTTACAAATAATGATCAAGGTAGGAGATTTTGATCAGACCAAGGACTTGGTACTAAACTAATCATGGTATGAGCCATAGTAAGTCATAAAGTCAAGGCATAGCAACTTTTAATTTCTCTAGTCATTTAAAAGCTCAGTTGTGATTATAGTGAATTAAACTATTAGATAAAGTACAAATTCAGAAATTAATGATCATCTCATTTTAGAGAAAGCAAATGACTAGAAATCTCTTTTTCTTCAGTGAGAAGGATGTGTGAGCTGAGAAAGCTGTCCTTTGGGAACTCGGAAAGCTGTCGGTCAGCCCGTGTGTCGCTCTCCTCCAGGGCTTTCATGTTAGCTGGCTTTCAACTATTTACGTTCTTATCTTGTGCCTAGAGATTGAACTCCTCTTGCAAAACATAGGCTTTTCCTTTAGCTTTCTCCTTGTACACTCACTGCATATTTAATTTATAAGAATTGCTGGATAATTCTGCTTTTGTCGTTTGGAACTGATATATATTCTTTCCACATACACTACTTTATTCAGTTCAGTGACAAAAGAGAAATAAATGTTGTGGTCTCAGATACATAAATCTTTTTAAAAGATATTTCTACTTAGAAATATTTTATATTCAATAGAGAAAACTGAGTTTTATGTACCTGATTAAGATGTTACTCATTCTTAGTATAAATTGTTTTTTTAATTTTAAACAAATAGTATAAAATGATCTCGGAAGGGGAAATGAGGAAATAAATAGTTTATAATTTATTTGCACCTTGGGTAGTAGGTGAAATGAAATCCCAATCATGATCAGGAGGCCTTAGGTGGGCTCTGCAGTACATCACATGTGGATCTCCAAGGAGAGAGAATTCACTGTTTCTGGCACCTAATTTTGAAGTCATGGGCTCAGAGGCTTCATTTGTATGACTAATTATTGTTTTACTCATAAGGGTCACAGATTTCTGACCTCTGTTCATAAAAATATATTCTCATTAGATTTATTCAGTATCATTCATCCATGATATTGCCATCTCGAAAGAGAGGTTTAGGGAAGCGATGTGCAGTGTTTCATAGTAAGATTATTACAGCTCCTAGTGCTTTTGTCATCTCTGCAATTATCAGGTGACGTAGTTTGTAGATATTCATGTTTTGTTCAAATGTGTTTTTATTGCACTGTCTTTTCTTCAATAAATCTTTAAAATATGTCATTGCCTGTGCTGTTCGTGACCATTCTAAGTGCTGTCATCTGTGATGTTCATGCTCCGTGTGTGCACGATTTAACTTGACCATGATTCATTCCTTTTTCCCCATGAATTGTCCCCTTCTGTTGGTCTCCATGTTTCCATATCTCTCTCCTTTTCTCCCGCTCTGTGCAGATAGCTCCTCCACGAAGACAAAGTCTAGCTCAGAGGGGAGTAGATCCGAGATATATGGTAAGCTCACGCAGCCGTTCAGCTTGCACCTGGGAGCTTGCTTCATGCTGTTCATTTTCTTCTTGTTCTTTTCTCTCTCTTTCTCTTTTAATAACTGCAGCCTTTCTTGTGTCTGCTCTGCATGGCATGATCTGCAGGGAAAGGGAGCCTGGGGTTTTACCGTGGCTGTCATGTGGAAGCTGAAGGTTGCTAGAAACTAACACGAATTAAGATAGGCCACGTTGCCACATTCTCTTTCATCTCGTTGATGTTAGGAAAGTGTTTGGGTCAGGTTCCTCCAGATAACATGGATGGGCTTTGAGTCGGCACCTTCTCCTCCTGGGTCATTTGTAGACTATAGATCATGTGCAATTTAAGCAATGGAATCTTTTCCTTTAAATATGGTACTGGTGGAATGTAGGTATCCTAGCAGTTCTTTGCCATTTTTATTTTATTTTTTGCCTTTTTATTTTTGCCTCCTCATCTGGAAAAGTCATTTTTGTATAATATGTCCATAATATTAAAAATATGTAAGTATTTAATTTTCGTAGCGTGAAGAATTTGCCTATGCCTTTCAAAAGCTTCCCTGAAGCTTACTCTGAATGGGAAAATTTTAAAATAGTACTTTCTAAACATTGGCTTCATAGAGAGAAATTTTGGCTGAATGGTGAACTTTTGCAGCCAGTAACTGAAATGCTAATATTTCTAGGCTGTGTCCTATCTTCCAAAGGTACAGTAGATCACGTTTGTGAAGCTTTAATCTATTTTCCCTCTTCTTCTGCATGTTTACCTTCTTCCTTCTCTTCTTTTGACTTACAACTACTCTTTTGAGAAAAGAGAATAGGAAAGGCACTATCAGGAATCAAGACTTTAAAAATAATCTCAGAAACTTATAGTTTTTTTTAGGAAGATTTCAAAGTGAGCCTCAAAGGAAAATCAGATCTACTCTTATGGAACCCAAAATGTATCCAGTGGACATTTTCCCAGGCGCAGGTGTCACCTAGCTGGACATAGAGGAAAGAACTTACGGAATTGTCTGACCACCTTCTGAGATATTTGACATTTTACATCTACTGGCAGTTGAATCCTTGATAATCAGATACTTTTTAATGTTATGGCGCCTCAGTGTTTGGTTCTAAACCAGTTAACGCATCCATGTTAGATACACACACCTAGTCCTTTGCTTGGGTTTCTATAACCAATGTTTTCTCAGTGTGGTTAAAAGTTTGGTAGTCATTCAACAGGAAATGTATACCATGCCTTGTGGCATGCCAAGCTTATGCCTTTTCTTCTCTCCAAAGATTTTGGCTACTTTTAAGTAAGAAATAGCTTTCTCAGGCCAACCGATGGCATCATGGTTAAGGTGGTTGACTCCTATGTGATCAACTACATGGTTCAGGTCCTTGACCCAGCAACGTGAAAAACACACCAGCATGTATATGTATGTGCCCAAAATCCTGAAAGGAGGAAGAAGTGGAAGAAAGGGGATTGCTCCATGACCGTTCCCCATGGGGAGGTGCTTTCTAATTCTACCCCCTTATTCCCCTTCTACTTCTCTCCCCCAGTGCATGTACCCTTTAACATTTTTTTTTAAGAAAAAAATAAGAAGGAATAGTTTCCTTATTCTTCTAGACTGTCTTTTTCCAGATAAAGAGTGTTTTATGGTTCATTCTTTCTTTAAGAATTTGAATATTGTGACTAGCAGATGGCAAATGGTTACATCACTGGACTTCTACATAGTTAACCATGGTTTGAGTCCTGGACCCGGTGGCTTAAAACTCATCCTGGGTGCATGTGCGTACGTGCCCAAAATCCCAAGAGGAGAATGGAGGAGAAGGGATTGCAGTGTGGCCATCCCCCCAGGGAGTGATTTCTCACTCTCTGTCTCTCTCTGTCTCTGGCAAGTGCATGCACCCTATAGCAAAAACCTCTCTTAAAAAACAAACAAACAAAAAAACCAGAATGTGAATATTATTCGTACAGCTCCATTCTTTCCAATAGCCTTTGAGTGTTGTGTTTCATCTCCCTCACCACTTTCCTCGATCTGCGGTATGTGAGCAGAAGCTTGCTGTTTGCTTTGGAGGAGGATTAACAATTTAGGAGTCTATGGCTAGAAATACTGTATTTTTTTCTTGCCAGGGATAGGAATATTAACACTAGTTCAGACATGCCATTGGCTTGGTAGTAATAGAAACATTTTAAGTGGTAATCAGGAAATGAGGTGTGGCTTTTCTGTGTTTGTTTCTTGAGAACCCTTGAAATACCTTTTTTGGAAAGAACTGAGCCATAAGTTGTCAAAAAAGCACTCTTCAGAGGGGTAGGTTGATCAGAACAAAGTTGGCATGTAACATGAATCTCTTCGACATTACAGATATTTTCTCGCCTGTGTGAACAGACTTCTTCACACACCGTGTGCAGTTAGCATGGATGACAAAGGCACTCTGGGGAGTCAAGGAGAGCTTGGGAATTCTGGGATATGACAGAGTCATGGCACATGGGAGACTGTGCTTTAGTGCAGGGTCTTCACACAAGACCCCTGGAAGCTTTTGAGATCATACGTGGTCTTCTCTTGGGGTAAAGTTTGTCATTGAATACTTAGCACAGATGCTAGTTATTCACCTGCAAATGATTTATTTTAAACTTTCCTGATAATTTTTAGAGCTGCTTTGTGAGATAGAGTTACTTATTCGAAAAGGAAACCAAATGTTTGTTTAGTGTTCACTTCTCTTGTTAAGTTCCTGCCCACTGCAGTCAGTCAATATTGATTCTCTTTCTCCTCATTAGTCCCACAGTACCTTTTGGAATCTACTGACCATGTATGGGTGTGTTTTCGGATCTGCAGTTTTAATTCTCTATTTTTCTTACTAATGCTGTCATGGAAAACTTCTGCACATTTCTGTGGGGTATGAGATATTCACTCAGGGAATTTGGGGTTCAGGCTACAGCCACTTCCTAATCTGTTTTGTTGTCATGAAGAGATTCTTTTTAATGTATAAGAAAATGAACCATGTCTTTTTTTTTTAAAGAGATATTTTTGCTATAGGGCGGATGTGCTCACCATAGAGATGGAAAGATAAAGTGAGAAATCACCCCCTCGGGAGATGGCCATGCCCCAGTCCCTTCTCCATTCTCCTCTCAGGATTTTGGGCACACATGCGCATACACCCAGTGAGAGTTTCAAGCCATCAGGTTCTAGGACTCAAACCATAGACAGCCATGTGGGAGTCCAATGATGTAACCGTTATGCCATCTGCTGGTTCCAGAACTAGTCTTTTTTAAGCTGTCTTAGAGTGCTAGGGCTGCTATAACAAAATATGCAGAAGGTTTGGTTTACAAGACAAAAACATGTTTTCTCACAGCTCGGGAGGTTTGAAGTCCCAGGTCAGCGTGCTAGTGTGTTGGGGTCTAGGGGAGTTCTTCATTGACTTCCAGATGACTGCCCTTTTCTGTGTCTTTACCTGGCCTTTCTTCATTGCTGAAGAGAGGGGGAGCCATTCTGCAGCTTCTGATCCTACCATGAGGGTTCCACTCTCTGACCTCATCCAACCCTAGTTGTCTTTGACAGGTTTCATCTCCAAATCCCACCACACTGAAGGGTAGGCTTCAATGTAGGAATTCAGAGGCAGCTCACACATTCAGTTAGTCCATGACAGAAGGGAACCATTAGTCCTTGAAATATCCTGGTTTAGATTCTTCAGAAGGTACATGTGCTCACTAGGAAGAGAAAGAGAGAGAGAGAGAGAGAGAGAGAGAGAGAAGAAGGGAGAACACACCCACCTTCCCATGAAGTGAGACCTGGTCACACTATAATCCCTCTTCCTCCATTTCTCCATCCTGTCAGGAATTTAGCCATACAAGCACACATGCCCAGTGTGTTTTTTGAGCTACCAGGGCTGGAATTTGAACTGTGGTTGTCCAGGTGGATACCAGCTCCCTTAACTACTTTACTACAGTGTCTTGTTTCTTAAAGTCATCTTTGACCTCTTCAGTTCTCTTGTCCTCTGTTGTCAACTATTTACCAAGTCTCCTTGAATCTGTCATCAGGTTTCCATCCTTCACTTTTTAGTTCCAGTCCCACTGCCTTGCTCAGTTTTCCATCTTTTCCTTAGACTGTTTTGATAGGCTTATAACTTTCCTTCACTGGGATTTTACCTCTGTGACTTCCTTTTCTCCATTCTGTCTCTCCATTCTCTCTCCATAGCACCTTAACCACCAGCAGGTTAAAATTACTAAAAGAAGGAGTCGGTGATTCCTTTTGTAGGGAAGTTAAAATAGGAAAATATGCCATCAGTCGTTCCTGATTTATCATTCTGCCTTGATCTGCCAGTCACTGAAAAGTGGCAGACTATTCCTAATGCTCATTTCCAGGCAGGCCTTCATCCTTTGCTCATGCCATTCCTCCCCTCTTAAGCGGTCCACTTCCTGTAACTTTAGACTCCTGTTCATCCCTCAGGGTCCAATTCAAATACCACCTCCTCCAGGGGCTTTTTTAGGCCTACTCAGCTACTTTTGTTTCTGAACTTTGACATTCTGCTTTTTATCTAGTTATTTTGGTTTATATTCACCTTTGCATCTCCCAGAATGCCTGGCACATTGGGGGCATTTATTAAGTGAATTTTGAAAGAATGGTTTTTGAGACTGAGATAGAATTGGCGGAATAAGATCTTGACCCATTTTAATTGGGTCTTTCTTCCCTTATGAGAAGCTGTTCGGTGGGAAATGAGGCTTCTTCCTGGTAGTGGTCTGGAGGAATGAAGTCGGCATACTTGGAACGCAGACTCCTCGCGCAGGCTGCATTGTGTTGTGTGTTTAGAATCAAGAGCTTCTTAATCAAAGGATTATCTCAGGTCTTACTCATAAAACATGCATGTCTGGCAGCAGTCTAAAAATGAGCCGTTTTTATGAGGGTGCACGTGGTCTTTCTCCGCACCCTTCCCTGGAGCTAATTCTTAAGAGGTGAGACTTAGAGGAGTTTGGTCATGTAACAAAAAGGTGAAGAAAGACCCGTGTGCTCTGGCCAA